GCTCTTTCGGAAGCCACTGTATTCCTCTCTATACAAGGAAGAAAGGGGCTTTCGAAATGAGGGGTTTTTTTTCCTGACATTTGGCCCAGTCTAGACAGGCCAAAAGTTGGAAAAGCCTCTTCCAACAAAAGTATCGGAAAAAGCTATGTAAAATGCGGCGCGCATTTTGCGTAGCGTTTTCTGACAGAGGTAGTCTAGACATACCCTTAGTGCTGCTCAAGGAAACAAAAGTTCCCCACAGTTAGTGTATCCCCGACGGGCGGATCGGAACCTGGGACCTTTTGGGTAGTCTAGACATACCCTTAGTGCTGCTCAAGGAAACAAAAGTTCCCCGCGGTGAGTGTAGCCCCGACCGGCGGATCGGAACCTGGGACCTCTGGAGCTTCATGCAGGAGCCTCTACAGCTTGAGCTAAAAGCCAGCTGGCTCTCAGCTAAGGCTGTAGAACAAGATCCCAGCTGGCTCTCAGCTAAGGCCGTAGAACAAGATAATTCTCTCTCTGTAGGTGGTGTAAGTGCCACTATATGGGACAGTGACCCAGTCCCAGCAGGTGTGTGGCTTACGTTAGCCCAGAAGGGAATACCTTTGGCAAGGGGAAATTCTCTGGCTGCAGACAGAGCCAGTGCGATCTGCCTCCTGCCTCTTCGCAGAATAAGCGTGTCTGAGGCAGGGAGAGGGGGAGTAGCTAGACTGTGTTGCACTTTGGCTAACCTCAGGTGGCTTATGGTATCTAGAGAGTGCTTGTCAGCTGGCACGAGGTAGAGCAGCTCCCACGCTGCCCTAACCTGAGCCAAGGCAGAGAACAGGGCTGTTGTCACTGTGCACCACTTCAGTTTCTCTTCTTCCCCTCTCCTGGGCTCATCTGAGTGGCTGTGTGGGAGGAGGGAGGCATGTTCAGCGCATGCCTGGCTCCCACCAAAGCTCTTCCTGCAGCTTCAGAAGAAGTGTCCCCCTCCTCCCCTGTGTTGTGATGAGAGTGACTCAAACCCTTCCATTTGAAAAGTGAAGGATGCAGTGGAGGGAGATTCATATCAATTTCCTTAAGAGTTGCCTGGGAGGGCCACAGTTGGATGTCGCTGGTATAGAAGCTGAGTGACCTTTCCTGGTCTGATTTCTTCCCCAGATTGCTTTAAGTTTTAGTGGCACTCTGTGTGTTTCTTAGGTGTGGAACAAGTTTGTGAGGATCAGCTTTCCTGATGAAAGCTTCACTGAGGAGTGGAAGAAAACTTTACTTTCGGACATGGAAGGGAGGATTAAACAGGTACTTAAAAATGAGATTTCATTCATTACACGTGCCTGGTTCCTACAGCTCATGGGATGATGGCTAGAACAGGGCTGGGCAAAATATGGCCCGCAGGCCAGATCCGGCCAACCATACTGCCAGATATGGTGCACGGCCCAGCAGGAGCCTCAGCCAGTTTCTCTGCTTGCCCTACCCCTGCACGCTGCTCTCAGCAGCTGGATGGGGGGCCTGTGCATCTCTGATCACTGCTGTGATCAGGGCTGGGGAGATTCTTTGCGTGCTGCCCCACCCCCAGCACAATCTCACAGCCAGTCAATGGGAGCTGCTAGTTTGTGCAGGGCAAGCAGCATGCAAACTGTTTGCAGGGCAGGCAGTGTGTGAAGCCTCGCCTGCCCTCCCCTTGCTGGCTGTGCTCAGAGCAGCACATGGCTCCTGTAGCTGGCCACTCTGACCTGGCTGAGGGACCTGCTGGGCTGTTGGCCGGGAGCCACTTAGGCAAATGCCTCCTGGCCAGAGCCTGTCTCTGGCACCCCAGTTCCTCCCCTTCCCCACCGCCTCCCTATTCCACATATCCCAAACCCTCTGCATCCCTGGTCCTATATCATACCCCCTTCCCAGACCCTGCACCTCAATCTCCTGCCCTCCGTCACAATCCAAATCCCCGCACCGCTGCCCCAGGTCAGTCCTGCACCCACATCTATACTCCCTCCCAGACCCTACACTCCTGCACCCCAATCCCTTGCCCCAGGTCACAACCCAAGTCCCTGCACCCTTCCTCCAGGTGAGAATCCTCTCTTGCACCCATACCTCTCCCTGATCCTGCACCCCTATCCCAAGCGCCCTTCTGCACCTCACCTCCATCCCTGATCCTGCACCTCCTTCATTAACATCATAGAAGAATGTGGCCCTTGACAGCTTACCAAATTCTTGGATTGGCCCCCATCAAAAATTATTGCCCAACCCCAAGCTAGAACCTATTCAACTGACCTTTGTATGTTGCTGCTAGAACCTAAACAGATTTAAAACATGTTGCTTTTCTGCTCTTTGCATTGACTTGTTCAAATGACCTTAATCTCTTCCATTACAAACAACATTTCTAAACGTTCTACGAAGTTGAGCATAATCTTTTTGCTATGGCATAGTCCTGACTATGGCATAGTCTTGTACATTGCTGCTGTCTTATCTCTAACAATGGCTAATAGCTGGTAGTTCGAAGGAAACTGGAAAATGTAGACAGGCTAAATATTTATTTAGCTTTGTCAAGATGAGGTGTAAAATATTTTTGTAAATTATTATTATATAATTATAATAGTACATAGGAGTCCTATTGTACTAGGCACTGTACAGAGCCATACCAGTAGGAAGAGACAGTCTCTGTGCTAAAGAATTTACTATCTAAATAGGTAAAATCATTGTTCTAGGCAGGATGTAATGGCTACAGTTTTCTTATACTCATCATGGTGTTATGAAAGCTCATGGTTAGAACTATTTCTGTTAATCTCTCTCTCTATCTATCTCTATCTATATATATATAAAAGATTTTCCTGCCGAATGACAGAATGTTCCTGCTGGGTGACAGAATGACGTCATCACTGTGAACAGGCTCTCTCGGCAAAGTGAAAGCGGCCCAAGAGAGCTCTATCTATATATATATAAAAGATTTTCCTGCCGAATGACAGAATGTTCCTGCTGGGTGACAGAATGACGTCGTCACTGTGAACAGGCTCTCTCAGCAAAGCGAAAGCGGCCCAAGAGAAGGGGGCAGGCAAGCGTAGCGAGCAGAGGGTCTGCCCCCTAGTAGTATTTTAAAAAACAGGAGTGAATTATAAGAGACATTTCCAGACCATTCCTTGACCAACTTGCATGACTCTGTGGGTTAGGATGAGCTGATTCCTGGCATTAATATGAATTTTAAAACACCAGAGAATTTACAGTCAGTGTTTGTGTGACTGCTGAACACCCAAAGCTGTCCTTTCTTGTAAGCCAGTCTTCCCACAAAACATACTTGATTATAATTTTTTGGTTGTTCCTGTACTGTTGAGGTCCTGAATGCTGACTTTCCACCAAGAGGCTCCTTCCTGCTAGTCCTCAGCAATGTCAAATTTAATTAAAAACTTTTTATTTTAAAATTTCCATTTTTACACAAATCGGCCATGGTTCTCACCATGTGAATCTTGTGGATACTTCACTGAAAAACCAGGGGCATTTTTCTCCCAAGCTCCTATAAGCTTAAACACGTTGCGGTTTATGTGGAACGGATACCAACAGAAACCTTTGGAGGGAAGGAAACAAATGTAATAATTAAATATCAGTGTATAGTGAGAGTGACCAAATATTTCTTTATCTTTATCTTTCTTCATGCCACACCACTCTGCAACATTTAGCAGCTAGCCAATAAGAAATGGTGTGGTGCTGGTGGCTAAGTTTGCTCCTTTTGGGAGCACAGTAAATAATTAATAGAAAATTGACCTTTTCATCTAATGCTTTTTATTATTGCCCCAAAATAATTTCCTCCCTCTTCATGCTTTCAGAGTGTGCACACTTAAAAATGAAATTAGTGAGAGAGATTTTCTTTTCTTTCCCAACAGGAGAAGCCAGTTCGACAGATTGCAGCCTACTGCCATCACCATGACAAATTTGAAACCTTAGACCATTCCATTGGCAAATCTTTTGAAAACTGTGCTATGGAAGCAGTGAATGCTGCATGCCAGGTAAGAGAGCTCTTCAAGAGGAAATCTTCACTACAGGTGCAGCTGAAAATCTGCAGAATATATGACCCGTGTTAGCTGTCCTGGCGCTGTTGGTTGAAACCTAAATAAAATTCTCCATTGCATTTCTATTTGTTTGAACAACTGGGTTTGAAAAGCGCAAAATGTTGAGGAGAAATCTGGACTGTGAAAAGTGAGTGTGTGCAAAGAGGCCAAGGAAGAAATACTTTTAACACCTTCATTGGCTCTTGCCATCACGGCCTCTTTGCCATCCACAGTATCAGCCACTTGAAAGTCAACATACTTGGAAAGTGAGTCAGCAAAGAAGGTGCTTTGTATCCTATACACCTGGACTATCTCACAGCACCCATGTGATTCGGCTGACCTGGACGTTAGGCCTTGGACCTACTAAATAACGCAGCCCCTTCTGGACGTTAGGCCTTGGACCTACTAAATAACACAGCCCCTTCTGAGTATAAAGTACAGGCAGTCCCCGGGTTACGTACAAGATAGGGACTATAGGTTTGTTCTTAAGTTGAATTTGTATGTAAGTCAGAACTGGCTCCAGATTCAGCCGCTGCTGAAACTGATCAGCGGCTGACTACAGGAAGCCCTAGGCAGAGTTGCTCTGCCCTCGGCTTCCTGGAATCAGCCTGATCAGTTTCAACAGCTGCTGAATCTGGAGCCTGCGACAGAACAGCCGGGGCGGCCTCCCGTGA